CACACCCCCCCCCGCCCTCCTGGCCCAGGGGAGGGGTTCTCCCTCCTCCCCCTGCAGCCTAGGTGGTGGGCAGGGACCAGGCGACAAACTCCCCCCCTCCCTCCTGGCCCAGGGGATGGGTTCTCCCTCCCCCCCCCGCAGCCTAGGTGGTGGGCAGGGACCAGGCGACAAACTCCCCCCCTCCCTCCTGGCCCAGGGGATGGGTTCTCCCTCCTCCCCCCGCAGCCTAGGTGGTGGGCAGGGACCAGGCGACAAACTCCCCCCCTCCCTCCTGGCCCAGGGGATGGGTTCTCCCTCCTCCCCCTGCAGCCTAGGTGGTGGGCAGGGACCAGGCGACAAACTCCCCCCCTCCCTCCTGGCCCAGGGGATGGGTTCTCCCTCCCCCCCCCGCAGCCTAGGTGGTGGGCAGGGACCAGGCGACAAACTCCCCCCCTCCCTCCTGGCCCAGGGGATGGGTTCTCCCTCCCCCCCCCGCAGCCTAGGTGGTGGGCAGGGACCAGGCGACAAACTCCCCCCCTCCCTCCTGGCCCAGGGGATGGGTGGCCGGCCGTCACCCCGTGCCACTGGCCGCCATGTACAGTGCTACCAAGGTCAGGAAGGTTCCACCCTGCGCCCTCTTCCCTAGCACCCTTCCCTAGACGCCCAGGGCGGGCAGAGCGCTCAGGAGCCACCGAGTCCAGCCCCCCGCCCAAAGCAGGACCCACCCTGACTCAGTCAGTCCAGCCAGGGCTTGGTCAAGCCAGGACTTCAAAACCTCTAGGGATGGAGATTCCAGCCCCTCCCTAGGGAACCCAGCCCAGCGCCTCCCCACCCGCTAAATATCCTAATCTCCAACCTAGACCTGCCCCACTGCAACTTGAGCCCATTGCTCCTCATTCTGCCGCCTGACCCCCTGAGAACAGCCTCTCTCCAGCCTCTCTGGAACCCCCCTTCAGGGAGCTGCAGGCTGCTCTCAAATCCCCCCTCGCTCTTCTCTTCTGCAGACGGAACAAGCCCCAGTCCCTCAGCCTCTCCTCGTAGGTGCTCCAGCCCCCGAGTCATTTTCCTCGCCCTCCGCTGGACCCTCTCCAGTTTCTCCGCAGTGAAAAGCCCCAAACCCTTCTGGGGTTCCCCTACTCCGCACCCGTGGGCTGAAATAAGAGACGCAGTCTGAGCTACGCAAATTGCGTCTCATATTTCAATCTCATTTTGAAATAAAGCGCTATTCCGAAACGTCCCTTCATCGAACGAGGGCTACGGGGACGTCGGAACAGCGAGCCCGTGATTTTAATCCGTTTCGAACCGCCATCTGGACATGGCCCCGCTGTGGCCGAATAAAGGGGAATAATTACTCCTCTCGGTCTGCTGGCAACGCGCCTCCTAATGCAGCCCAATATGCCGTGAGCCGTCTCGGCTACGCTTTCCCCTCCATCCTGCGAGATCCCAAGAGTCGCAGCGAGCTCTAAGTGGGGAATTGCTTCTCCCATCACTGGCGTGGGGGCGGCGTCATCCGCGTAAACGAAGCACACGAGATCTTTTATAGGGGAAAAGGCAGTACGCCGCGTTTATTGCGAATACAACCGTTGCACGTGCTTTTCAATCACTCACACACACAAGCATCGTGCATGCACCGTCCCGCCAGACCATGTCATCGTGACCAGTCCAGAGTCTGTATCCATCAAGCGGGCTTTTTCTGTTGTGATCCGATGCTCTCCTGGAGTTGGCATCAAGACGAATCCAAAGTTCCATAGCAAAGCACCCTGCTTTTATCATCCTTTTCTCTGTTGAAGTCTGTGGACTTCGCTGTGTCAGTCTGTGCCCAGTTACTGTTATCTTGCTGATGTTAATCATTCCCAGAACATCTGCAAGAGGCTTATCCTGTCCTGGATTTAATCAGTTGTTTCCAGGGATGCCCGCCTGTCAACTTTAGAGCCGTCAATTCTGCCAATCTGATCAATTCTTGACCGTGGGTGTACACCGATGGTTTTTCTGACGCCGATATGTTTCTTCACAGTCTGTCTTTTACAGTGCACCCCCACATTCTCCCATTCTCTCTTGACCACCTGGCTCTAACGATGACCTTCACACCGTATCTCATTCATACAAACAGTCTTTCACAAAATCCTTCAAAAGTAAACAATACTGTTTTACATTAATCAAAACAATTCACATCGAAGGCCTGGGTTTTCAGTATTTCTAATCTCATTATCATAGACACAATCTGAGATCCTGTCTCTTTACTTACTGAACTTTAGAACATGGAAATATAGGCGATATATACTTAACAAAAGGATTTGACTTACTACAATATTAAATACAATTACTACAGTATTGCTACGTCATTAAAC